TTATTTATTTAATAGAATTTTTGTCTTTTTTAAAAGAAATGGTGTCTGACCATATTGTCCAGGTGGCTGGTCTGAATTCCTGGTCTCAAGCAATCCTCCAGCCTCAGCCTCCCAAACTGCCAGGATTACAGGCATGAGCCACCAAGCCCTGTAAGGTATTGCTTTTATAATTTGAAACAAGTAAGTTATAATAAAATGACTTGGGGTGGGTGCAGTGGCTCACACCTGTAATCCCAACACTCTGGGAGGCTGAGTTGGGCGGATCACCTGAGATTGGCAGTTCGAGACCAGCCTGAGAGAAACCCTGTCTCTATTAAAAATATAAAGCTAGCCAGGTCCGGTGGCACATGCCTGTAATCCCAGCTACTCAGCAGGCCGAGGCAGGAGAATTGCTTGAACCTGGGAAACAGAGATTGTGGTGAGCCACGATTGCGCCATTGCACTGCAGCCTGGGCAACAAGAGTGAAACTCTGTCTCAAAAACAAAAAACAACGCTTGGGCCAGGTGAAGTAGCTCACACCTGTAATCCAAGGTGGGTGGATCACAAGGTCAAGAGATCAAGACCATCCTGGCCAACATGGTGAAACCCCGTGTCTATCTCTACTAAAAATACAAACATTAGCTAGGCGTGATGGCTCGTGCCTGTTGTCCCAGCTACCCAGGGAGGCTGAGGTAGGAGAATTGCTAGAACCTAAGAGGCGGAGGTTGCCGGGAGCCAAGACCGCACCATTGCACTCCACCCTGGCCACATAGTGAGACTCTGTCTCAAAAAAAAAAAACAAAAAAACAAAAAAAACCCACTTGGCCAGGTGCAGTGGCTCATGCCTGTATTCCCAGCACTTTGGGAGAGTGTGGTGGGTGGATCACATGAGGTCAGGAGTTCAAGACCAACCTGACCAACAGGGAAAAACCCCGCCGGGTGCAGTGACTCATACCTATAATTCTAGCACTTTGGGAGGCTGAGGTGGGCGGATCACCTGAGGTCAGTCGGCAGTTCAGGACCAGCCTAACCAACATGGACAAATCCCATCTCTACTAAAAATACAAAATTAGCCGGGCATAGTGCCTGTGATTCCAGCTACTCAGGAGGCTGAGGCAGGAGAATCGCTTGAACCCAGGAGGCAGAGGTTGCAGTGAGCCGAGATCGTGCCATTGTACTCCAGCCTGGGCAACAAGAGGGTAACTCCATCTCAGAAAAAATATACAAAATTAGCCAGATGCGGTGGCACATGCCTTTAATCCCACCTACTTGGGAGGCTGAGGCAGGAGACTTGCATGAACCTGGGAGGTGGAGGTTTCGCTGAGTCGAGATCTTCCCCCTTGTACTCCAGCCTGGGCAATAAGAGCGAAACTCTGTCTCAAAAAAAACAAAACAAACAAACAAAAAAAGACTTTTGGAAGTCAGCATCTGGGTCACTTTAGTTAAGGGTTCCTCTGAAATGTTGGCACTTCACTGCATGCATTAAATTAACATATTTATTATGTTAACAAATTCCACATGAACAAAATGTTCTTACTCTCTATGTTAATTCAGATATTTTATTTAACCTTTTTTTTTTTCTTTCTGAAACAGTGTCACTCTGTCACCCATGCTAGAGTGCAGGGGTAGGATCATAGCTCACTGCAACCTCGAACTCATGAGCTCAAGGGATCCTGCTGCTCCAACCACCTGACTACAGGTGAATGCCATGGTGCCAGGCCCTCATTCAAACTTTTAAGACCCTACCGCTGATCTCCATTATTGAAAAGCTTAACTGTTTCACCATAAGTGATAATCACATTAGCCAAAACACCCAGGTCTAGGAGATTGTAACATCTATACCATCAAGATGCAAGCAGAATATAAATAATGCAAATCAAGACTTCTTTTTCCTTTTTAGATGCAGTCTCCCTCTGTTTCCCAGGCTGGAGTACAGTGGTGCTATCTCAGCTCCCTGCAACCTCTGCTTCCTGGGTTCAAGTGATTCTTGTGCCTCAGCCTCCCAAGTAGCTGGGATTACAAGCTCGGATTACCACACTGGCTAATTTTTATATTTTTAGCAGAGATGGGGTTTCACCTTAGCTAGGCTGGTCTCGAACTCCTAACCTTAAGTGATACTCTGCCTCAGCCTCCCAAAATGCTGGGATTACAGGCATGAGCAACCACAACTGGCCAAGATTTCTGATTAATTCAGAGAAAGCTATCAAACTGCATTTGATGAAATATCAAAAACAATACTAAATAAATTGTGTTAAGTAACTTATTACATATGGATGGAAATTTTCACCAGATTTCTTTGAAGCTCCCCTGCTGCTCCTCTCAGACACCTGGTTGTAGTTTGAAGTAAATAATTCAAACAGGCCTGCCCCAGTGGGTGATGCCTGTAACCCCAACACTTGGGGAGGCTGAAGTGGGAGGATCATTTGAGCTCCAGAGTTCCAGGCCAGCCTGTACAACACAGCAAGACCCCTGTCTCTACAAAAAATTTAAAAATTAGCCGTGTGTGGCGGTGTGCCTGCAAGTGGGAGAATCCCTTGAGCCCAGGAGGTTGAGGCTGCAGTGCATTCTGTTCGTGCCACTGCACTCCGGCCTAGGCCACACAGAGAGACACTGTCAATCAATCAATCAATCCCATCTCCAGGATCCTATAGACAGCACAAAAGGACTTTGATATGATGCCTATTTCAAATTATAAAACATACACACCACAAATTTTCTTTCCCTTATTTATAGTCAGTGGTATCATTACTGTAGGAATGCCGATTTTAAAGACTCTATCAGGCTGGGTGTGGTGGCTGGCTCATGCCTGTAATCCCAGCACTTTGGGAGGCCAAGGCAGGCGGATCACCTGAGGTCCGGAGTTCGAGACCAGCCTGACGAACATGGAGAAACCACGTCTCTACTAAAAACATAAAATTAGCCAGGCATGGTATACATTCCTGTAATCCCAGCTACTCGGAAGGCTGAGGCAGAATTGCTTGAGCCGGGGAGCGGAGGTTACGGTGAGGCAAAATCACCCCATTGCACTCCAGCCTGGGCAACAAAAGTGAAACTCCGTCTCAAAAAAAAAAAAAAAAGAAGGCCGGGCGCGGTGGCTCAAACCTGTAATCCCAGCACTTTGGGAGGCCGAGGCGGGTGGATCACAAGGTCAAGAGATCAAGACCATCCTGGTCAACATGGTGAAACCTCGTCTCTACTAAAAAAAAAAAAAGAAAAGAAAGAAAGAAAAGACTCTATTAAGCATAATTTATGTTAAGACAGAATCTGTAACAGAAATTCTACGAATTCAAGAGACACTTAACCTGGTCATTTCCAGGCCTCAAATTACAGCCTTGTGATAATTCTATTGCTTGCTGGAACTTCAACACCCTCTAGATAGGTGGGTTTTTTTTTCTTTTTTTTGAGACGGCGTTTCACCATGTTGGCCAGGATGGTCTCGATTTCCTGATGTTAGGTGATCCGCCCCCCTCGGCCTCCCAAAGTGCTAAGATTACAGGCGTGAGCCACCCTGCCCGGCCCTAGATAGGTTTTATATACCTAGTTCCTAGGACTCTGGCACCAACTCACAATTCCCACCGGGAAATGAGCACGTACTTTGTTAGGGGCCAAGGAGTAGCTCCGCCCAGCGCGCTGCCCCGGCCCGACCCCAAACTGGCGCGGTCAGTGGTGCGCGCGCACTTTCCCGAGTCAGCACTTCCCTGGAGCCGCAGGTTCTCCGAGCGGCTCGCCCCCGATTGCAACATCCAAGCTGGCCTCTAAGAACCCCCGATGTGCTTTCTTCTCGAAGCAGCTCCCTTTTTAAAGCCTGGCACCTACAAGAACCTGGGAGTGCATCACAAGACAATACGTCTAGGGAGGCTGCTATACCAGCAGGGACTCAAGGGTCCTTCACCAGGCAGCCTCGTAAGGAAACCGCTCAGGCGGGAGGCAGAGGCAAGCCGCCCGCGTTTCCCTAACTTCGCACGCAGGGGAAGTTGATTACACAAGAGGGGTTTTTTCGTTTTGGTTTGGTTTTTTGTATTTTGAAGAGCCCATAACTTTGGCAATAATTTCCACCACACTCCTAAATCACAAGAGGGAGGGGAAGCGCTGAGTGAAGACAAGTACGGTCGCTATGGTTACCGCCGCACAGCTCAGTTCTGCAGAGGGAGGAGGTGTGGGCAAGGCCCTCTGCACCCACGCACCAAGGCCGAGCCCAGCACCAGCCCCGCCCGCCTGAGCGGAGGACAGTGGCAGGCACTAGAAGCCCCACCCCATTCCAAAGAAAATGACACCTTTCAAAGCCTTCAAACAAAATTTTTTTTAAAGGCCGGGCGCGGCGGCTCCTGTAATCCCAGCGCTTTGGGAGCCCCAGGCAGGAGGATCGCCTGAGGTCAGGAGCTCCAAAGCAGCCTGGGCAACACAGGAAGACCTAGTCTCAGAAAAAATAAATAAATAAATAAAAAATAAAGCCGGGCGCGATGGCTCACGTCTGTAATCCCAGCACTTTGAGAGGTCAAGGAGATCCGATCACCTGAGCTCAGGAGTTCGAGACCAGCCTGGCAAACATGGTGAAATCCTGTCTCTACTAAAAATACAAAAACTAGCCGGGCATGGTGGCGGACGCCTGTATTCCCAGCTACTCCAGAGGCTGAGGCAGGAGAATCGCTTGAACCCGGGAGGCGAAGGTTGCAGTGAGCCGAGACTGTGTCACTGCACTCCAGAGTAAAGACACCTTTCTTTGGGCTTAAGGAGCAAACATTCCACTCAGTGCCTGATGTAAGCTGGCCCGGGCACCACCCAGGCCTTCGGCCAGAACTGTTTTCCTGTTTTGAGAAGGCTCCACCACACTCTACACGGGATCCAGTCAAGAGCCGTTCCAAAAATGGCGCAGGTAGGGGTGGAAGGCAAGCCAGCGCGACGCTGTCCAGCCTCAGCCCCGGGGCACAAAGGGGAGACTAATCTCCAGAAAACTCGTGGTGCAGAATTGATAACCCCACAAGAAGCCAGCTTCCTCGAGTGGACCTTGAGGAAAAAGTGACTCGGGTACAAGCGAAACTGCTCAGACGCACTTCACATTAAAGACGCTCGGACAACACAAGCAAGACGAAAATGGCCCTGTGCGCAGGCGCGCGGAACCACGACTAGCGCGCTGGGGGCGACCCTTCCTCCTTCCCTCAAAGGCCAAGGAAGTGTGGCTCCGACGCGCTTGCGCAAGGACGGAACGTTGGGTGAGGGGAAACCCGTTCCCTTCATTGTGAGAGAGAACCGCCCCCGCACGACGAGCGCGCGCGCGCTCACGCACCACTCTCACACTCCGGCGCGCCCCGGGCTTTCCGCCCGGCGCCTCGCGCATGCGCGGAGAGGGAAGCAGTGGCGAAGTCAGGCTTTTTGCTGCTTCCCTGAGAAGTTTCTGGAAAGACGAAGCCAAAGCGACGCTGGGAGATGGGGAGCGCAAGGAAGCAAGCGTTTGAAAAAAGCGAAACACCCCAAGCACGCCGCCACACCTTCAGCCTTCGAGCCGCGGCCCAGAGCCCAAGGCCACTGGTACCCTCAAGCCAGAGAAAAAACACAGGGACTGCTGCAGGCGCTCCTCCCTCGGCCAGTGCTCAGCCTCCGAGACCCGTCAGCACGGGGAGAGGCAGGGGGTGGCCATGAGAAGCCTAGGGCGCACACAGGACGTTTGCTAGGTGGAAGGAAAGCCGAAACCCGCCCTCTGGAGTCGCCTGCGCGTGCGGGCCCCCTGGAGTGGGCTCAGTACGTTGGGACTCAGCGTGGCTGCCGAAGCATGGTTGAGGGCGTCTTTCACCGCGTTTTCCTAAGTTTTCCCTCCTCTCGGGGTCTGTGGTCCCTCCCCCGTCCGTCTTCGCTTTGGTGGCCTGACGCTAACGCTGCGAGTGTGGGGAGACCGTAGCAACCCCGGGCCCGAGGGGCGTCCGTTGCTGCTTTAAAGAAAAGCCCCGCGGAGAGGGGCCCGTGTGGCCGAGCAAAGGTAGCGCCCGCCCGGACAGTGGCGCCGCGTTGTTGGCAGCTCCGGACGAGGCCGCAGGTGCCGCGGGGCGCCTTGAGCAGGGCGGGCGTGGGAAGACCGAGCGCCTGGGCTGGCAGAACGGCGTTGGCGCTCGCGGGGCCGGGCGGGGGAGGGTGGAGCCACAGCGATTCGCAAGTGCCTCTTTGCGGCGGAGCGGCTGCCATTTTGTGGTGCGGCCGCCGCCATTTCGCGCGGCCAAGGGGCGGGGCGTGGGCGGGGCGGCGGGCGAGCGCGTCCCCTTTGTTCTTTACCTATCCGCTCAAGGCCCCAGTCTAGACCGCCGACCGCTTCGGAACCGGGTTACTTCCGAGCGGCCACGCGGCGTGTGAACCTTGCGGCGCGGCCTGGGTGTGCGCAAGGCCCCAACTGTCTTCCGCCTTGCAAGCCCTTCGAAAGTGGGATTTCTCACGCCACTCTTGGAGGGTTTAGAAAACACTTTTTTTTTTTTTTTTTGGTTGGGGGGACATTGTTTAAAGAGGGATGCCTAGAACTCAGCCGTGGGAAGTCGTTGTCTAGAGCCTTGAGCTGTTGCCAGTAACGAACCCGTCCGCGTGCCCGGCTTTGGGTGATCACGGCGCTCTGCAAATAGCCCAAGTTGCAGAGCGCGCCCCTTAGAGCTTCCTCAGCTGCCTGGAGACCTCACAAATGTGCTAAAACCCCGATGGCTCTAGCGGTTGGCCTCTTTTTGGGGGCGCGGGGAACCAAAAAAGATGGGATGTCTTTGACGTGCTGGAAGGCGGAGGAGAATGAGACGTTGCTTTTCATTGGCTGGCCATTAAGCACGCACTGCGCAACTGTTCTCCAGATAGGGGTTTATAGCCCATTATATCTGAGCCAGGAACTTGAACAATAGATTTGAATGTCTTATTTCTGTTTAGAACCTTTCCCATTTAACTTATTTTTGAAATCCCACATGAGTATGTAAATAATACATTGACCTAATATAATCTATTGTGTGCCTTCCAGCGTCATTTCAAATCCTGAAAGAGCTATTGTTTTTCTGATTTCAAAAGAAATATTTAAATGTGAGTCTTAGTGTTTTAATGTTAACGTTGTGGCTTGAAATCAACAAAGCCAGGAAATTGAAGAGAAGTGCTGCTAAATTTGTCTTCCCCTTTTGCTTTTGTACAACTTTTTTTTGGTTTAATGTTTTGGTGGCCTTTTTTTCCTTTTAAGTTTGTTATTCTTCACCACAGCGTGAGTTCGTAGAAGAGCCAGCCAAATCTATTGGTGGCTCAGCTGCCGTAGGTTTTTTCATTTTCTTACTATGTATAATTACAGGGACTTTTTTGTTTCAGCAATAAGGAGTAAAGCTCATAATGATAAGATTAAAAGGTAAACATCTGTTGTTGACGGAATCAATCAGGATTTGATGGCTTCTAGATGAAAGAGAAGAGGCTTTTGGATTCCAAATAATTTAGTTCCACTATGACCAAACTTAAAGCACTGCATAGAGCTTTAAATTTGTATACCATATTTTAAGATTGTGTAAGTCTTTTGGCATGGACTGTCTTTTTGTTTTGTTTTTGAGACGGCCTCACTGTCTCTTGCGGTGGCGAAATCACGGCTCACCGCAGGCTCGAACCCCCTCCTGGGCTCAGGTGATCCTCCCACCTCAGCCTTCGTTGTAGCTGAGACAATAGGCACGAACCACCACCCCGGGCTAATTTTTTAAGATGGGGTTTCGCCTTGTTGCCCCGGCTGGTTCCCAGCACCTGGGCTCAAGAGAGCCTTTCCTGGTGTTGAGATTACAGGCATGAGGAACCGCTCCTGGCTTGTCCTTCCTTTTCGCAGTGAGAGCTTACAGAATTTATATATACATACATATATATATATATGTTTGTTAATGCTGTGGGGTTTTTTTCTTTTTTGCCTGTACAGCGAAAATGACATACTATAAAAGCATGAGTTTTATTGGAAATATGGAATCTTACAGTAGCCTGATAACTCAGGCAAATTATTATGGCTCTAATTAGCTGGGCAGTTCAGATTCGAAGAATGATTGCCCAGCACTTGAAGAGACTGGAAGGATCTGTTTAAACAGTCTTAATTCCTAGGGTTCATTTTTATTTGTAAACACATACCTTTAACCATTACATTTAACACAGCACATCCTTTTATTGTACAGAAAAATGGTGTTAATTTGTTAATTTCTTTTTTTTTTTTTTTTTTTTTTTTTTTTGAGACAGAGATTTGCTCTTGTTATCAAGGCTGGAGTGCAATGGCGCGATCTCGACTAACTGCAACCTCCGCCTCCTGGGTTCAGGCAATTCTCCTGCCTCAGCCTCCTGAGTAGCTGGGATTACAGGCACGCACCACCATGCCCAGCTAATTTTTTGTATTTTTAGTAGAGACGGGGTTTCACCATGTTGACCAGGATGGTCTCGATGTCTTGACCTCGTGATCCACCCGCCTTGACCTCCCAAAGTGCTGGGATTATAGGCGTGAGCCACCGCACCCGGCCAATTTGTTAATTTCTTAAAGGAGTGGGTGGTGTTTGCATTGTTGACGTCTCCCTTATGACCAGGGCGTACATTTGCAAAACAGTTGAACAGAAATCCAGGCTAAGCTCCTTTGCCATACTCATATCTTCCTAACCGGAAAAACCCCAAACAGTGTTAGACTGGTGAACTTTAAATATGCGCAGAACCGTGCTCAAATAAACAGATTGAATCACCACATCTCATGATCTGCCCCAGAGGTGAAAAGGCCTTTGTTTATATAGTCCTGGATCTCATTTGTGTTTGTCAGGCTAGACCAGACTAGCAAATTCCAGAACTGCCAATTCATTGTTCCTGTAGTTTTTCTTTCTTACCCTAAAACCGAGGTGTCTGAATTAATTTGTACCACATATATGCTCCCTAAAAGAGGGTAGATGTTAACCGAAACCTTTGATTCGACCCAGATCCTTAAGACAGCCATGCAAAATAGAAATGGTGTTGACTAGGCCCCTTTTGCTCATGCCTTTGGATTTGTTCGTTCTGGTTTTTCATTCTTTTTTTTTTTTTTTTTTTTTTTTTTTTTTTTTTGGCATTTGACAAAGTTCCTGGGCTGCTTTTCTGAACAATGGATAGAAACCATAATAATCCCTATTCATTGTTCAAGGAAAGAACAGGTTCTCATGCCAAATTCCGAAATAGGAGAGAATTTAAAACAATAACTTTTTACTGGTAAAGATAAATGAACTTCTTTAGAGACTTTAATAATATGGGAAGTCTTTCAAAATATTTTTGGCAGCAGTTAGCACTCCCACATCGTGCAATAATTTTTTCTCCTTTGAGGCAAAACATTCAGAGAGTTGGTTATAAAATGCTTTCCCATGCTTCAGAAGTATTGAAGTTCAAGGAACAAATACTTGCAGCAACAGTATGCTTCTTAGAAAAATAGACGGTGGGACATGGTGGCTCACACCTGTAATCTTAGCACTTTGGGAGACTGAGGCGGGCAGATCACCAGGTCAGGAGATCGAGACCAGTCTGGCCAACATGGTGAAACCCTGTCTCTACTAAAAAATATATAAAAATTAGTTGGGCGTGGTGGCGTGCGCCTATAGTCCCAGCTACTCGGGAGGCTGAGGCAAGAGAATTGCTTGAAGCTGGGAGGTGGAGGTTGCCGTGAACCTAGATCACACGACTGCAATCCAGTCTGTACGATGG